TTTTATCTGTTCTGTAAAAAAAATGTTCATATCGGCGGCATATTCGCCGATACCGATATATCGGCGACAGGCTCATATCGGCCGATAATGTCGGCTAAACGATATATCGATCGAGCTCTACTATATACTGTTAACTTTACTGGAGTACTGAACTGCAGAGCTCCTGCAAACATCCACATCGCTGTAATCAGATGCTTTCTTAACTGCTGCTTTCATACCGCTGTCAGTTTATGTTTATTACATAAACTGTGCAAACTTTATAGTTCAGTTTATATCTTTGAGAGAAAAGCGCGCAGCATATATTTACATATTCATCCAAACGCCGCTCAGCAGCTTCAGGTTCGACTGCGTTTGCTCTGAAGCACCCTTGCTCTTTAACACCACAATGGTGAACACTTAATGCAAATTATGCTTTCATGAGGTGTGTAATGGTACACACATTCAAATTATTACCATTTTGCGTTAAAACTCCTCCTGATAGCAACCGAGTCTCTGTTAAACTTCACAGATTTCTATGAAGGAGCACCGACATCCAATCAAAAAACATGTGGAGTGAGTTGAAGAGGTCAAGAAATCTCCAGCAATATCGATCTGGAGCACTTTCTGTTGGGAAGAGTGGGGAAAAATTGACACATCAAGATGTGCTCGGTTGATAGACTCTTATAAAGGGAACAGATGTTTAAAACAAGTATTAGTTGAGAGGTGTGCGATATACAGTATATCGCTTATGGTAGTTTTGTAATTGTTGTTTTAATGATATGCAAGCTGATATTATCGATATATAATATCACTCACTTTGCAGAAAACAAACAAAAACACGTATTGAGAGTCCAAAAGCATTCACTGCGGGATGAAGCCTATTAGAATACAGTTAGAATGCTCTGATAATTCAAGTTATGAAAGCAAAAAATATCATATTATGAAAAATTAATCAACGTTATGAAAACATAAAAATATTTTTTTTTTTTTAATATTTGTAAGATATGATATAGTTGTGTAATATCACATAGCAAGAGTGCCATTTTCCTGAATGTTCGTGAGCATAATCACGAATGTGATATTGCTTTATATAACAGTTTAAAAAAAAACAAGAAGTTAATATTGAGTGAGTTACATTTTAGACACAATACTGTATGTTTTTTTTCTGTGTCGCCAATGAAAATGGTTCCAAATAAAGCCCAACATTTGTGCAGCCTAAAATGTTGCTTACACACTCGCTGAAAAAATGCAGGAAAACCTTATTTAAATCTGAAACTGTGAGCCACAAATGTATTACATTTAGCAAGTTGGCTTTATATTTATAGGGGTCGGGGGACACTGTGGGGGCCAGTCAGTTTTCCGGATGGGCAAGTGTCCCTGCCTCTGTCTACACCACTGACTGGACGTGCCATACCTTGCCCAACAAACACAAACTGTGTTAAAACTGAGTGTGAGGAAAGATAAAGAGTGAAACCCATTATATAATGCTGTACGAATGCACAGAGACAAGTAATGTCTAATTCACCAACAAATGACTTGTTGTGCTGACCAACCTTTATCATAATTTACTGAATTCAAAAAAGACGTAATAATAATAATCTTATGTTTTGACACTAAACCGGTATCTGGTCTACAGTGTTTTTCTGCTTTACCACAGAAAAAGATGCAAATATAGGATTAAAAGGAAATGAAGAATATAAACCTTTATATTAGTAAATACAATGCAAAAATAAATCAATAAAAAGACTTGGGAAAAGAAAGAGATTGTGTGTTTAATGGCACAGTCCTCTGGATGGAATTAATGAGCCAAAGGTGAAATGAAATGTGTTTTGAGCAGATGGGGCAAAGACGGAGAGATAGAGAGGGAGGCTTACAGATGGAGTGATAAACAGAAGCAAGCAGGTCAAAGGATAGAAGTGTGGTTGATTAGAGCAAGGCATACAACCATTCACAACCCTGTACTCCGCCAAGGTGTGAGTAGAGGGTTGATTCAAAGCCTGGGGTCAGTCAGTAAGATTATTTTCTGAAAAATATGAGTACTTTTATTCAGCAAAGATACATAAAATTGATCAAAAGTGACAAGTAAACAGAAATGTCTAGTCCAAATAAATTCTGTTCTTTCTATTCATCCAAGAATCCTGGAAACATATGTATCACAGTTTCCACAAAAATATTGGGCAGCACAACTGTTTTCAACATTGGTAATAATCAGAAATGTTTCTTGGGCAGCAAATCAGCTTATTCGAATGATTTCTGAAGATCATGTGACACTGAAGACTGGAGTAATGATGCTGAACATTCAGCTTTGATTACATTTTAACATAAATTCACACAGAAAACAGCTGTTTTAAATTTGTATAATATTTCACAGTATTGCTGTATTTCTGAGCAGAAGGCACGCACTGACCAGCTGCTTCTGCTGTCTTACAGAGCAGTCAGATGGTGGAGCTGCAGAGGTCTCGTCTGCACGACGACATCAAGGAGTTCAAGTTCAGAGAGGCTCGTCTGCTGCAGGACTACAGCGAACTCGAGGAGGAGAACATCACCCTCCAGAAACATGTTTCTGTCTTAAAACAGAGCCAGGTAACATTCGGCTGCCATCCGTAATAAATATGAGTTCCGTCCGTGGAGTTTCTGCTAGAGACAGTGATAATGTGGCATTAGTCACAGTTAGCTGGTGTGTGTGTGTGATATCTTGTAGGTTGAGTTTGAGGGTCTGAAACATGAAATTCGTCGTCTGGAAGAAGATACCCAGTTTCTGAACAGCCAGTTGGAAGACGCCATCCGTCTGAAGGAGATCGCAGAGAGGCAGCTCGGGGAGGCGCTGGAAACCATCAAGACTGAGAGGGAGCAAAAGGCAAGAGATGAATTTCTTTCTTTTTTATGTTATTATTATTATTTACAGCTATATATTATGGGTAGTGTAACCTCTCCGTAAGATAAGCTAGAAATGAAAAACAGGTTCTATTAAAATGAATAAACACTGGAAAATGATTGAATACTGGAGGATGAACTTTTTTCTTTGTTTCATTATCTTTCCACCATCAAACATAGAGCCCACCAGTGTAGTCTAAGTGACAAGTGAATAAGTCTTATGAACGGGTTCATTTTACCGAATCTGTCAAAAGAATTCTTAGGCTGGTGAGACTTGTCAGTGGTTGAGTGTTAGTTTGTCACGTGTTGTAACTTTTACCTCAGGAAAGCCATTCAATGACTATAAACTCGTTAGTCAACTAGAAAAAAAGTGTCTAGATTTTGCAAAATGTATGCTGTATATTACATATTCCTTGTATTTGCACTTAACCTGTTGTCTTTATTATTTAATATGTTTGATTAAATCTGTAATGAAAACAAGTTTTTATTACAGACCCTTTTTTAAATGTGTGTATTTCAACAACAAATTCGAGTAGAAACCTAGTTATATCATTAAAAAAAAGTTACTGCCTTGTGTGTAAGTTTAGATGGTTGTGTTTTGGTAAAAACTTAATTTTGCTGCATCACTAGTCAAGTCGCCTTTATTTATATAGCGCTTCATACAATAGACATTGTTTCAAAGAAGCCTCTCGGTAATAAACGAGAAAAAGTAAGTGATGCAAACTTTATATTTTGTCTCAAATATGAGGCAAATCCAAACTGCTGTAAAGCAGTTCTTAAAAGTCTATAGTGTCATTATTTAGCTCAAGTCAGTTCAGTGTTGATTCAGTTCAATAACTGTGTAAAGTTTGTCAGTTTATAACAAGTTAATTTCAGCGATCAGCGGTAGTGTCATTATTCAGTTAAGGTCAAGTTTTGTTCTCATCCAGTAGTGTCAGAGCAGTCAAATTGATAATACTATTAAATATGAGATCTTAATTAATATCATAATCTTTTAAACAATACTAAACATACATTTTGTACTAAACTCATCTAACTTGTCAATGTACACTGCGTAAAGTGATATATAAATAAAATGGACTTGACGAAGTGAAATGAATGTAGTATAGGCCCTATTATTGTGGGGGCCGGGATGGGGTGTTTTCATTAATGGAGTCACAAAGGAACTTGAATCATAAGTGGAATCAGGAAAAAAAAAAAAAAACTTGGGATTTCCCTCACTAACTAAATGTTTAGCATTTTTAGGCACATTTCTAATAATTCGACTAAAGAGAATGCCAACATTGCACATTTCCATCAACAAACAACTTGTGTGTGCCATTTACTTTTCTGTGTTTGGACATTTTTGGTTAACATGAGGAAAACAGTCCTATTTATATTTAAGGACTTGACATGAGGGTGGTTGAAACCACCAAGAACTCCTCCGTAGTTGCTTAGTAACACGCTAAAACCCACTCAAAAAAACAGAGAAACCAAAGATCAACCACCCACAGCACAAGCACCATGGCAGTGAGTTTTTGCAATTTCTTCAGAAAGTGTTTGTTTCAGATGAAAGCCTGCTGTAGGCATCTGCCAGTCCACCCTGAGGTCTGATTTAATGATATTTGTTGGGCTCCATTAATCCAGGCCGCCTTAAGAAAGGAGTTGTCGCAGTACATGACCATCGGAGACTCGATGTACCACAGTCCTTTGAGCATCTCCCTCGATGGGCTGAAGTTCAGCGACGACACCTCAATCGAGCCCAACAACGACGAACCCCTCCACATCTATGAGAATGCCTTTGACAAGATCGACAACAACGACAACCGTGTTTCCACGCCCAAAAAAGGAGAGCGGTTCCACCCTTCCTCCAGCCTGGTGGACAATCTGCTGAATGAGCTCAACATCTCAGAGATCCAGAAGCTCAAACAACAGCTGCTGCAGGTGAGATGATAAGCTGTTTGCCATATTCACTGTACAGGTTCAGTCAGGCACCGTCATTGACAGCCAACGTGACAGTCGATCATGTATCGTGACAGCCACGATACATGGCTCACGGTACAATAATATCACGATACAGCGATTCTGCGATAATCGATATATTGCTAGACAATCCTATAACGATTCATCACAATATCTGTCTAGCTATGAAAACAAAATGACTGTGAAAAGGTTAAGTGCAAGTTTTCTCTCTTTATTCAAGTCCAGAAAACGGCACAAAAGTTCTGTAAATCAAATTTAACATGCTGAGGAAATTAATCATTTTATTCTTGGAATGATTAAAAGCTTACACTTTTCTTTGTGTGTAAACCAACACATTTAACTGCTTATCAACTTTATATATAGCCTATATATATATATATATATATATAAACCTGGTACATTTCAAAATTTAACTGGAGTGTTTTCTCAACCTTTCCTCTCCTCTCATCATAAAAACGGAGCCCCGCACACATGACATGCAGGGAAAAAATAGCCGTTCACATCGCATCTTCTGCACGCTCAGGTTCATTATTTCAAATGCAGACGCGCGGCAAGCACACACACTGCACACTTCTGCGCCGCATTATGGCACTGACGAGGTTTTGTTTCGTCGCCCATGCCATAGGTGCAGATTTATGTTTCTGCCGGTCGGTGCCCACTGCATAACGCGCACTTGCAATATCTGAGAGAGAGGGAGAGCATCCAGTTTTGTTGACATAAAACTGGATGCGCCGGCGGCACTATCTCACTTACAGTTAGTGAGGGAAATCCCCCTGCTATCCGAGCGGAGAGGTTAGGCTACTCATGGACTGAATATGCGCTCTGCAGTAATAACGTGATCAGTGCCTATGGTCCACGCTGATAGCTGTTCTGGGGCAGTTCTTTAGTTCTCATTTCCATAAACATATATATAGCAGTAGAGCTAATACAGTGGCTGGAAATCGGTTTATCCTTCGGTTCCTCGTGCTTCCCCATCTTCATAGAGAGCACGGTTCATGGTTGCTCAGAGCGCTTTGGAAAGAAGGTGGAAATGGCACGGCCGCGATTTCCACGCATTTTTAGACGCTGGGAGCAGGGAAATCTATATAGAGTGCCTTATTGTAATAATTAAAATATCGATATTTGGCGCCAGATATCGATTCTCGTATCGCATTGGAGAAGGACAACGATATATCGCCATATCCATATATTGTCCCACCCCTAGTAATTACAATATTTATACAATTAACAAAGAAATAAATTTGGCACACAAAATGAGATGACAGATAGAGAAACTCTCTTATTCACCATTTAATTAGCTATATGAAAAAGAAACTGAATGACACATTTTTCCTTTTCATATGGGTAAGAAACAAAATAAAGGTAAGTGAAAAGACTTTATTGTACCTTTATTTTTGGATAAACTATTTTATTCACATCATAGTCTCTCTTAAAATACGTATGGTTATGATAATCAAAACAGTCCTGAGCTAGATCAAGCTTTGATCTCTACAAACCAAAGTATCACTTTAAAGGGGAGATAATACACACAGTTTCACCCAATCTCATGTTAATCTTGAGTACCTATAGAGTAGTACTGCATCCTTCATATCTCCAAAAAGTCTTTAGTTTTATCAGATTTATAAAAGAAAGATACAACTTTACGATTCTCTCCGGAAAAAGCAAGCTCCTGGAGGTGTGCCGTGGGCGGAGCTAAAGAGTGACAAGCACTTGGGCGCCGAATGCCAACAAAACAGACATTTGATGCCGTTTCACTTACCGTCTGCAGTTCTGAATCATGACCGGGATCTTTTATAGCTGGGACCGCTCAATCTTTCAGTATCAAACGTGCAAATCCAGCGATGAAACTCGGCCTTGTTAATAAAACGTTCGTCAAGAAACACACTTGTGAAACTCTGTTGCTGCCTCGGAAAAACAAACTGCATCCACTGTTTACATAACGCTGGGTTCTTTAGGAAGCTGAACAAAGTTATCTTTCCCTTAAAACCAAAAACACACTTCTTTGGATTGGAGACGTTCTTCCCGAGCAAGTCCCGTGCAGCCTGCCGCTAGATGAAGCGCGTTGATGGGCGCGATCTCGCTCTTGCTCTGGTCGATGTGTGTGCGGGTGCGCACTTCCGGGAGAAATGCCCATATAAGGAGTTCCACCCTCGTTTATGTCATGAAGAGCCACGATCGACAAAAAACTCTCCGAAACTTGTACGAAACCGGAAGTAAGATTTTTGGCACAGAAATACTCAATTGTTTTTTGAAACTTTGTCCATGCTTAGCATGAGAATCCAACTCTTTAACAGTGTAAACAACTCTGAATGCATGAAGCAGCATTGTACCCCCCCTTTAATGAAATAATATTTTTTCCCGTTAATAAAAAGATTTTATCGTTAGCTATCTCCACACTGGAGAGGTGTTTTATAACAGAAAAGCAAGTTGTAATTCTAACTGAAAGCGACACTGACTCTGGTTTTTCATGTTTAATGCTGTAAAGCTGCTTGATTTAAGGCAATCAACTACATGAAGTACTATATAAATAAACGTGAAGTGACTGGACTTTACTGGAGTACTGAACTGCAGAGCTCCTGCAAACATCCACATCGCTGTAATCAGATACTTTCTTAACTGCTGCTTTCTCACCGCTGTCAGTTTATGTTGTGTTTATTTCGTTATTGAGAGGAAAGCGCGCAGTATATATTTACATAGTCATCCAAACGCCGCTCGGCAGCTTCAGGTTCGGCTGCGTTTGCGCTGAAGCGCTGTGTGTGCCGTTTTCTCTTGAATTGCATTCAAGGAGGGCTGAATTACAGTCTTGCTCTACAGCGCCACACTGGTCAAACCACATTATTGCAGCATATGAGGTCAAACGACTACTCGACAACAAAAATATTTAGTAGGGATGCATGATATTATCGGACCGATATCGAAATCGCCCGATAATGGCTTTAAATCTAAATATCGGCATCGGCCCGATATGAAAAATTACACGCATGTTAAATCTCGAACAATCTTGAAAATGAACAAATGTTAAATCTTAAAATAATAAGGATACCACAGCATCTTTCTGGGAAAAAAAATGCAGCGATTGATATATAGTTGAAGAAATGCCTTGGAATCTTCTTTTTTTTTTTGTAATAGTTGCTTCAAACCCAACCAAAGAGCACCTTCTGGGATTACTTCAAAAGGTCCTTAATCAGCAAGTAGCACTTCAAGATGTCTCTTACGATCTATTAAATATAATGTGTTTATAATTTCCTCACAGGAGAGACTTGGTGTTGTTTCAAACAAAAGGAAATATATCGGCATCGGCTATCGGCCAAAATGAGTTGAAATATATCGGATATCGGCAAAAATCCAATATCGTGCATCCCTAATATTTAGTGACAATTTTTTTTATTGTTAATGTTTTCGATAATGTCGACTAATAATTTCAGCCCTAATGCCAAGTCGGTAAGTTGCACAGTCTGTAGTTCTGTGTTTGATTGGCTGACAGCTGGACTGTTTAAATCCTATTAGTGGAAGTTGCATTGAGTGCCCGCCTCATCTGACACAATGAGCTGTCAGTTAAGCCATCTGTCAAGAAGTCAAATTAGAAACTCTGACCTCTTACGAGTTGTCTTCATGCATACTGCGTTGTCCAGTGGCGATGTCCACTCCGTTCGCCAAAACCATAGGAGCAATATGAGAGCGCTGTTGCAGCCAGCAGCACCTTCTAGCCATTATGGTAATCAGACCCTCATGACCTTTGAACTGCTATTGATCAACCAAGAAATCCATTCCAGACACAATGAAAGAGCAGCTGAAACGACATGATTTTCCATACGAACATATCAAGTGAACTCAAACGTCTGTGACCGGTAGTGACGGCTTCTATTTTTGCTTACATTTTTCATTACAAGGGATTTTTTTTTAGTAACATGAAATCCCATAAAAAAATCTACCTCCATTTGAGAATTAAGTTACAATGAAAGAATGTAAAATCAGACATTTTGTGCAAAAGGGTTCACATTATTAATGTCACAAATGTGACCCTGGAGCACAAAAGCAGTCCTAAATCGCTGGGGTATATTTGTAGCAATAGCCAAAAATACATTGTATGGCTCAAAATTATCAATTTTTCTTTTATGCCAAAAATCATTAGGATATTAAGTAAAGATCATGTTCCATGAAGATACTTTAAATTTCTATAAATAAATATTTAATAAAATATATCAAAACTTAATTTTTGATTAGTAATATGCATTGCTAAGAACTTCATTTGGACAACTTTAAAGGAGATTTTCTCAATATTTAGATTTTTTTGCACCCTCAGATTCCAGATTTTCAAATAGTTGTATCTCAGCCAAATATTGTCCTATCCTAACAAACCATACATCAATGGAAAGCTTATTTATTCAGCTTTCAGATCAAATGACCCTTATGACTGGTTTTGTGGTCCAGGGTCAAAAATTAGCTTATTTCAGCTTAGAAATCACAGAAGTTTAAAAGTGAACAATCTCTGTTTCTTTTTACGTCATAACAGTTCTGAGTTGAGTCCCAAGATTTGAATATGGTCTCAGACACAAAGGAAAAAAGGTCAACTCAGTGCAGTACCATTAGGTTTTTGTATTACAGTCGCACTGTAACTGACATGAACAAAACAATTAAACCGTTAACCGCAAACCACAGTACCAAGCCAGAAATTCATATTGGTGGATTCCCATCTCAACAGCCACATTTTTGGGTCGTGTCAGTACAGGTTAACACAGATCACACACTGCTGCTCGTTTCAGCAAGTCCTGTAATTAATGTGTAGAGCGAATGTGCTTTTAAAGGAGGTTCTGCTTTTACTGAATTCTAAGTGAAGGAGACTGCAGATTTTCAGCCAGTTTCTGCAAGTCTTAAAAACGTCTTAATTTGCCCTTCCACAAGTGCAAATAGTCTTCAAAGTCATGGCAATTGTTGCATACGATCAAAAAAAAAAATCATATCTTGCTTGCAGTACAAATACCTAAACGTCCTTAAATCATGATACATTTAGTACAAAATGAAGAAATTACATCTGAGAAACTGAACAAAGTAAGTTTATACTTAAACGAGCAAATATCTGTCAGTGTGGTATGAAAATTACTTTTAAGTTGATATTTCTGAATGCATTGGCAGATACAGTATGTGTTCTTGTTTTAATCATAAACTCACTTTTGGAAGCCTTTTTTTTTTTTTTTTACAATTAATTGCAGGGTGATGGAGATCTTTAAACGAATCATAACATTTTCTTTACTTGGTCTTAAAAGGTATTTAAAAAGTAGAAAACCTTGAGAATAAACCATGCATTTGTCCTGCAATACCTAATACAATAACTCAAAACTCACTGAAATTATTTTCCCCTGGTGTGTTTTTTGAAGTATTATTATGATACTAAATAATATTCATCCCATCCAAAGAGAGATTCATCACATTTATCCAATTCCACAGTATCTTTCTAGGTGATTACTGTGTAGAAGTCAGGCTTTAGCGTAGGGCTGGGCGATATAGCTAAAAAATGTATCAACGATATAATGTTTCATATCGTTCGGTATCGATA